TGCTATAATGTAAGATGTTGAGATTTCATCTTATTTAAAAATAAAATCATAATAATATAAATAAATAGAGAATAATTTTTATCTTATAAATCAATTTTATAAAATTAAATTATATTCCATTTTTTACGATAAGATAAAAGAATGCTTTTACTCATCTAGATATCCAACTAAGAGCTATCAATTGTGACATATTATCATTTTATATTAAATGAATGCTTATATTATTTACACATAAAATGAGAAATTAAACAAGAAAAAAAGTAAATAAAGATACATGGAAATAAAATATATACTTATATTTAGAATCGCATAACGCTAATGATTGACTTTTAAACATGTTACTAATAGGTATAATGTCTTTTTTGATCTTTGTAATAGAAGAAAATTCTAACATGAAGCACTTTTATAAGTGTTCATCCATGAGACATCAAATACAAATATCTTTTCAAGTAGTTCACCTATTTTCAATTAATATAAATTATAAATCTATTATTTTAAATTGAATGGTTAAGATTTTGTGAAGTAAATTTATAATTATGTCCTTTTAATTTTCATTTTTTTCCTTCACTCAACATGAATTCCACACCATTCTTCCACCGTTGATCCTCCTCCTCCAATTAATTGTCTTGACAACAATGACAATGAAGAGAAAATATTGTCATTGAACGAAATCGTCACCAATAACTTTAATAAACTTTTGATTATTATTTTTAATTATTTACTATTATAAAAAAACATTTATGTAATTTTAAATTTCAAAATTTGAATGAAACAAAATTTAAAATTATTGAATATATATTAAAAAACTATTGTAAAATAAATTATTTAATTAAATATTATTTTTTAAATATTTACTACCTCATCCATAAATTACTTATCCAAATACTTCATGTTAGAACGCTTCGTATTTGAGCATAACCAAAGTTTGACATCTTGACATACTCATAAAGAGAGAATACAATTTCTACTTCACAGCTAGCAATTTTGCTTGACAAGATACAACATTAAGATATTAATAGATATTCTACTCTTTTAGAATTACCCATAAATATTTAGAGTTTTTTATTCAAATAATACTATTTTTTAAAAAAAATTACCCAAATAGCAACTGTGTAAATTTATTTTTTCAACTAGCACCATTTACTGTTCACGTTCAGAACAGGCCGTTATAGATTCAAAATTAGCATATAAAAAGTGGAACCAGAATGGGTCGTTCTAGCCTATAAATAAAAATTTTTGTTCGATTTTCACTTATCAAATACCAAAACTCAGAAACTAACATCAAATAATTAAATTTATTGAATATTAACATTATAAATATAACTAAATAAATTTATTAAAATTCAATACAACAATAAAGATCAATGGTGGCTGAAACTGAATTCATGACCAATATTTGGATATGTCTTCCTAGTGTGACCAGGGGTGTGACCACGCGAGCAAGGAATATGAACTTTCTGGAATTTGCCGCAATCACACTTGTACTGGCCTAGCCAAGTTGTGAACTTGTCCCTTACCAAGTTGCCCAACTCGGTCAAAAGTTTACCAACCTGGTCAAGCAGTAAACTCATTACTGACGAGCTCCTCACCTCGGTCATGAAACATAGACATCGAAATATCACATCGGCCCAAAGAGGCCATGTCATCAGATAGATAAAAATACAATCTTGTCATCGCGCCGCAATCACGAGATAAACCCTAAAATTGCCAATGCGCTGGTAGACAGTAAAAACCCTAAAATCATCAAGATACGTCTACTATATATACGAGACATCTACACTATCAAGTACTAACTTTAGCATCAGAGTCTCTTTTGCAGGTACCACCCCCATCTTGGAGCGGACAACCTGCGAACCAGTGGAGGCTCACCAATCTCATTAGAGAGATCATCACCGATCGAATCTCAGGTGAGAACAACACCACATTACATTTAGCCTTACTGTAAATCTCCCAGCAGGTCATGCGAGCAAGGGATATGAACTTTTTGGAACTTGCCGCAATCATACCACATCTCATTTAGCCTTACCCTAAATCTCCCAGCGGGTCATGCGAGCAAGAGATATGAACTTTCTAGAACTTGTCGCAATCATACCACATTCATTTAGCCTTATTGTAAATCTCTCAACAGGTCAAACTTCTCTCGAATGTTACGTTTTTTCCAACTTTGTGGCCAAATCTAGAACTCAAGAGAACTTTCAAGGGTCGGCCAAAGTTTTGCAGGATTAGAACAGAGATGGACATTAGAGAACAACATAATCGTGTAAAAAATTGTTCCTATTATCACACCGCTGGTCACACTAGGAAGACATATCCAAATATTGACCATGAATTTAGTTTCCGCCACCATTGATTTTTATTATTGTAATGAATTTTAATAAATTTATTTAGTTATATTTATAATGTTAATATTCAATAAATTTAATCACTTGATGGTATACTCTGAGTTTTGGTATTTGATAAGTGAAAATGGAAAAAAAAAATGATCTGAATCTATAGGCCAGAATGGCCCGTTCCGGATTCAGAACAGCTCGTTCTGGTTCTACTTTTTGTGTACTAATTTTGAATTTGGAACAACATGTTCTGATCCATTATCCATGTGTTATTTTTTAATCTAGAACGGCTCATTCTGGTTTCAGAACATCTCGTTCTGAATGTGAACAGTAAATGGTGCTAGTTGAGGAAATAAATTTGTACAATTGTTATTTGGGTAATTTTTTTTAAATATTATTATTTGAGTAAAAAATTCAAATATTTAGTGTTGTTAATTCATATTTTATTTCGGAGTTATTAATAGGCTTTAAACCATAAATATTTCGTGTGTCAATTCATATTTTATTTTGGAGTTATTAATTAATAAACTTTAAACCATTAATATTTAGTGTTGTCAATTCATATTTTATTTCGGAGTTATTAATAGATTTGGGAGACTCATTTAGTGTTGTCAATTTATATTTCATTTTGGAGTTATTAATAGACTTGGGAGCCTAATTAGATAAGTTTTTATTGGATACACATTTATAAGTTTTTTTTTTATAAAAAAATATTAATAATTTTTTTTATTTTATATTTTTAGTAGTTCTTAAAAATGTTTTTAATTTGTATTCAAATATGCACTAAATTTGAGATGCCTATTAATTTTTATATGTAGGTGAATTATAGTAATAATGTGTATAAAATCCAAATAGAAGAATTTATATTTATATTGATAGAAATAAGAAGAGAAGTTAAATTGTATTTTTTTATTACAACTTTTTTTTTATATATAAAAACTGTTAATTAAAAACATACTAAATTTATGTATGAATTAAAATTGAATTTTAAGATGCTTTGAAGAATAAAAAATGTATTTACCCTATATTCAACTTGTGTATAAAAAATATTTCGCCTACAACAAATCTTTACTTCTTAAAGGTTAAATTACACGAATTTAAACATTAAAACACATTTTAATTAAATAATATATATAAGCATCAATTAAAATATATAATTGTTTATTTTAGTAATTATATTTTATTTAATCTATATAAACTCATTATAAAAATTATAGATTTAATATACATATATTATCATTAAATTTATTAATTTGAATAAATATATTATCTATACTTCTATACTAATAATTGATAAAGACAATACATGTGTGTATATATATTTTTGGATATTTTTATTTCTATACTACCTCTGAATTGCACCTCTCCATTATTTATATTTTTTAT